AGATCCTTGTGTCTTGACTACAAATAATTCATTGTTGAGTCTCCAGTTATTCCCCTTCTTAGACTTTTTATTGAATGCAATGATGTCTCTTGAACACTGAGTGTCAAAGTGCATTAGGTGCTTCAGTCCTCACCACAGTCCTGGAAGTTTTTACAGATGAAACATCTGAAGTCAGAGAGTTGGACAACTTGTTCAAAGTCACAGAGCTAGCAAGTGACTAAAATCAGATCCGTTAGACTCTAAAATATATGTTTTCATTTTGTCCCCATCTCTCAAATTAATAATAGGTATATAAGAGCCCATCAATAAATGAATGGATAAAGATGTACATATACACAGTGGATTATTATTCAGCCGTAAAAAATAAGTCCTCTCATTTGTGACAGCATGGATGGATCTAGAGGGTACTATGCTCAGTGAAATAAGCCAGGTGGAGAAAGACAAATTCTATTTGATTTCACCTACTTGTGGAATGTAAATACAAAGCCAAACAGAATGAACAAACATCAGTAGAATCATAAATACTGAGAAGTGACTCATGGTTATGAGGGGGTTAGGGTGGGTGGTTTGGGAAGATGAGGGGGTTAAAGGGGCACAAAAATTCTCAATCATAATGTAGGTTGCTCACAGGAATGATAGTACAGCATGGAGAATATAGCCAGTGATTCTCTAACATCTTCCTGTGTTGACAGCTAGTAACTGTACTAGTGAGGGTGAGGATTTAACAATGCATGTAAATCACTGTGTTGTGTACTTGAAACATATTATGAGATTGTGTATCAATTATACTTAAATATTTTTAAAAGAATAATAAAAAAAAATAGGTATTAAAACCTCAAGTGGTTAAGATCCAGACAGTCAAAGTGTCTGAGTCCCCACCCAGCTGTACTAATCTGTGACGTTGGACAAATTGGTTAGTCTGAATGAGTCTCAGTTACCTTGCCTATGAGATAAGTAGTACCTCCTTATAGAGTTGCTGTGAAACAATGAGGTCAGCCATGTAAATAACAGCATGATAAGCACTGGACAAATTTTGGTTATGTTTATTGTCATCTCTACCCACAACCTCCTGCTCAACTCTTTGCCAGGTTTGTGTGCTGAGCATTTTATGTGCATATCTGTTCAGTAGCTCTGCAGAGCGGGCATTAGGCCTCCGTTTGCATAAGGGAAACAGGCACAGAGGGGTTAAGGCTCTTGCCCAAGTTGAACCCAAGTCTGTCTAGCTCCAAAGCCTGTTTGCTTTCTACCTCTGTGATGACTGTAGATTCCTTTCTCATATCTTTTGTGGTAGTGAGGCAGTGGTGGTGAGGCCAGGGCAGCTCTGGTGTGGCCCATGGAGTGAGCAGAGAGGCAGGACTCAGCCCGGGTCTGTGTGACGGCAGAGGCTAAGCTGCCCCTGGCTGCTCTCTCCCCACGCAGCCTACGGGGAAACGGTGGCTTGGTGTGCATGGGGCCTCCGATTCCACTTACAGGAAGCTTGAATTGGCAATACTTGGAAGAGTTATTCAGAGTTGTATTTTTATATTACAGTCTTATTCCCAAATAGCTTCTAGAAGGCTCACAGTCTTCCCAGTAACTTTCATTTCTAAGGCATTCCTAAGTCAGAAATACTTTGTAAGTTTGGCAAAATTAAGGGGGTACTTAGGGCACAGAATAAAAACCCCCTTTTGTGTCAACTTGGAAGGTCTCCGTGAAATGAGTACGTTGTTCCAGTCACATGTGGAGCTCGCCACGTCCACCCTCTTAGATGAGGGTGCTATGTTCAGTGATTCTTCTCGACAGAAGGAAGGAAACTTCATTGATTCTCTAGAAATCATCTCTTCCCCCCCCCAGATAACAGAGGATCAAAATAACCAACAAAATAGTGAATGATTCACATTCTCTTCCAAGTTCCAACTTGAGCTTTTAGCACAGAGGCGAACTCTTAGCCTGGCTAGAAGGTGGCCAGACATGAGCACTTTAAACAACTTGCATGTATTCGAGTTTCAGAGTGAAATGAGCAGCAGTAATTTGGGAAAGGACATCCCAGACTCCTTAGTGAAAATCTGTGTAATCTGCTCTCCCTTGGTCTGACTTACCAGGGTGCCCTTGTACCTTGGAGGAACACATGAAATCAAGAGGCTGCAGTCCCGCGTCCGGTGCTCTTTGCATTTTCAGCCTGCTCCCTTGCACAGCCTTGCATTTGAGCCTGAGAACAGAGCTCTTCAGAAGCCTGGGCCTGGCTCCCAATGACACCCCGAGAACTGGCCTTCGGCACTGTAGCTCTCACCCGTGGCAGCAACCTCCTTCTCCTAGAACCAATTCTAGTATGTTATTTGAACTTCTCTTTTAGAGAAACCAGCCAGTGTGCAGAATGAAATTCTCTCATGTGTTCCCTTGTCTCTTCCTGCTCAGCTGTGTACGAATGTTGTTTTGGAAACAATTTTTCATGCATCTGTCTAAATTCCTGGTCCTCCTCATAACTTACCATTTACTACAGTTTTTAGGAAAGTTAGATGCTTATATTTTTTATGATGTTTGAAATGAAAATGTGTATGTGTAGAATCATCTTGTTGTAGTTGGGTGAGGATCTCTTTCTCAGTAACTCATTAGGAGAAGAGACAAAACTTGGAGGCCAGACACAGAGCAGGGGGTTGGGGACTGGAGGCCTGTCACTCAGTCTGAATTCATTTTCCAGTGTTTTTAGCAAGGGGTTGTTGAACATGCTGCACTTGTGGCCGGAGGCGGAAGGGTGCTGAGAGACACCATTATTTGTTGAAATCCGTCCCTGTGGGCTTGGGGGCACTGGCTTTTGTAGGGAAGCTTGGCTGGGAAAAGTGAGTAATGACGGCTGCAGAGGGGGGAGTGCGGACACTGGAAACTGCAGCCTGGGGTCCCGGGCCAGCCCCTCTCCTGCTTCGCTGTGCGCAGGTCAGCGCCGTTCTCACCCTGCTTCCTCTGAGCCAGCCTGTGGCTTAGAGACGAGTCCTGGAGAGTACCCGGTGCCGTGCCTGGCGGGTGCAGACGCTCAGGTATTGGAGCAGCGCTTCCATGCCGGTGACAGTGGTGCACAGTTGGCCTGTCACCTGGAAGCAGTGACTGGCTCAGCATTGTTTGGGGAACAAAGTAAAGTGGGGAGAAAGCTTCTTCAAGGCTGTGGTCTTTGAGCTCAGCAACACCCACAGTTCCTTTTTTCTTCCCTGCAAGGTGCTGCTGGCACTTTTGTTTCCAGGGCTGCCAGAGGTTTCTGTAGTTTTTGCTCTGAGTCCCCTTCTCTCCATACCTCCTCGCCCCAGTTGAACTCAGCTACATAGTGATTTGGTTTATTTTGTTGAAAATTTAGCCCCCTAGGGAAAATATGATAATGCTGTTTTCAGACAGCTGTGTTTGGGAGTGAGACTGACTTACCCAGCTGGCTGGCATCACTGGGGCCCAGAGACCTGCCAGCCCGGGAGAGCAGCTGTTTGGCCTGAAATTCTTATCATTCTTATGACTTTGCTTCCTATATATCGGCTTCTCGGTTCTGCTTTTAAATGCGCACACAGAGGAGAGAGGCCGTGAGAAAGGCTCTGGGGTGTCTAGGGCTGCCCGGAAGGAGGCCAGCTCCGCAGAGTGAAACACGACATGTGGGCCAGTAAATCACAAGGCCTTAATATGGTGGAGGCGTTCTGCAACCATTATGATTTACATTGGAAGATTTTTCTAATGTAAAGGAGAAATGTTACAATATAATACTAGATGAAATATATAGGATTGAAAACTATGTAAATATAATTCTAATTATGAAAAAGCGTGTTTTAACATTAAAAATGAGATAACTCACACAAAGCACTTAACCCAGTGTCTGGCATGGCAAATACTCAGTAAATCACATCTACTGGGTGCAAACTCCAACCACAGGGAGCTTGTCTTGCACACTGTTAATACCCACAGGGCCTGTTGTAAAGTCGATGATCAAAAGATCTTTCTTGATTGAATGAATTAGTGTTATTCTGATATGCATTTAAAAAGGAATCTAGAAAATCTAGACACAGGTTTCTCTGTTATCTGTAATTATATCTCTAATCGTGGCAGCTTAACCTCTGCCTCGGTTCATATAAATGATGAGGACAGTACCTGTGGCTCTAGGTCACTGGGAACTGAGTGAATCACATGTAAAATACATGCTCCCTAGGGATTCGACATTGAGCAGTGGCTCCTGCAATCATAGGAGGCACTGTGGAAGTGTAGCTGTTATAATAATACTTTAGAAAAAAAAGATGAGAATCGTCATGATTTTTGTCTACCATTTTCTTCTCACTTTTTACTGTGGACTTTTGTTTCCTTTCTTAAAAGCTTAAAAGCAGAAAGTTCATAAGAAAATAAAATTCAAATGTTAACAGTTATCTCTAATGGGAAATTAGGAAGCTTTTCTGTTTTCTTCCTGATGCTTTCTGCATTCTCCTGATTGTAGTTATGTCCCTTTTATCGCCCTTAAATAAGAACAAGAATGCTCAGCGTCAAGGAAGCACAGAGCTGCTGAACCAGGAAGGATGCTCCTTCAGAGGACAGTTGAGACCTGCTCTGGGCTTCTTTTTGGAAGGTTATTTAAATGCATGTTTCACCTTCTGAGAAAGGTGTGAAGCCATTGTTAGAAGTGAGCAATAAGGGAAAGTAAAGGGGTTCTGTACAAAGATGGTCAAAAACCCCTCAAAATCCTGTTAACAGACCAATGGCTTTTTTAATGCAGCTGCTTTCCATTTCCCCTGGAGAGAACGGGATCAGTGGGCATGGCAGCAGAAGGGGCTAGAAATGGAAGAGAATGCCTACCTGACGCCGGGATACATGTCCAGAAGAAAATGCTTAGTACCAGTTCCTAGAGATGTTTAAGCTAAAGTCCTGTGCAAATGCCAGAGGTCTTTTCAGGTCTCCTTTCTGCTGGTTCTTAGACACCACCAAGCTTTCAGTTGTACTGGTTTGGGTCTGTGCTTTCTCCCCAGTTCACAGTAACATGTAACCTTCTTCTGAAACTTGACTTGCAGATATTTAACACCGTGCCCGATATGCCTCTCACCAATGCCCAGCTGCACCTGGCTCGGAAGAAGAGCAGTGACTCCAAGCCCCCGTCCTGCAGCGAGAGGCCCCTGACACTCTTCCACGCCGTGCAGTCAACAGAGAAACGTGAGTCCCACTGCTCTGGGCACAAGCCCGGGCCTCTACATTCTCCTGCCTTTCACGTGCCTAAGGACAGTGTGTCATGGGGCCCTCCCAGCCTCCGCGGCTGAGTGGCCCGGCCAGGAAGCAGCACTGCTGAGCGTGAAAGGCAAGGGCCGCACGGCGTGCGGATTCTCTTTCCAGATCTCCTGCAGGCAGCCAGCTGGGCCTCTCTTCCTCCTGCTGCAGGATAGGAGCTCAGCGCGGACATCCTTCTTTGGCCTCTCTTGTTAGCGGCTCCCATAGAACCACTAACAGTTTGTAATTAAATGCTTATTAGCGTGAGTCACGTGCCCCATTAGAATGTGGCTCTGCGAGGGCAGGGCCTGGTTTTGCCTGTATTCTCCTCCACCCCTCAAAAGACCTGGCATGGAGTGGACTTTTTATAAATGTGTGCGATTAGTTAATGAATTAATTAGAGAATAATATCCTCCCTTTATTCCAAATAGAGTATCACTACCACAATTGCTTCTTTTTTTTTCATCTCAGGATCCTGAGTTCTTTGCAGTGATCAGGTTCCTGGCCCTAAAACAGCCAGTCTTGTTTCAGCTTTTGTCCTAAGAGAGTTGAGTGGTACCAAATAGGAGCTGAACACTCAGGCTTTGCCTGAAGTCAGTCAGACCTGGGTTCTTGTGCCAGAGGCACCCCATGGGCAAGCCCTTCTTCACCTTCTCTCAGCCTCAGTTCGCTAGTTTGTAAAGTAGGGATGACAGTGTCTGTCTCATAGGGAAGTTGTGAGGAATAAATGAAATTTATTTAAGCATCTGGCACAGGCCTGGGCATGGCAAGGACCGAGAGCTGAAGCTGCTGCTATTGTTATTAGTTATTGTTTAATCACATGCAAATGCCAAGTTGCACACAGCTGACATTTCAACAGTGCCTGCCGGGGACTGGGAATGCAAAGATGGCCCCTAGTCCTCAAGGAGCTCATAGTTGAGGAAGGGAAGCAGGCGAGTGGGCGGTCACGGGGAGCAGCGCCGTGACTGCACTCATAGACGCGTGGCTACTCGGAGGAGCAGCGGGGTGGCTGGAGGCACACCCTGGCCCCTGCCCGCCTGGGTGAGAGCTCCACGGGTGCTGCTCCCCAGCTGTGTGATGTGAGCAGGTTATTCACTGTCTCAGGGCTGCTGTCTCCTCTTCTGGAAAACAGAGATGGCGGTTTCTGCCTGCAGGGTTGTTGTGATGATTAAGGCACTCCAGAAGGTGCTGGTGCAGGGTGAGTGTGCAGTAAGTGCAGGGGATGGGGCTTAGTTATTACTGTTATTACTACTACTAATAATAATGATAATAACTCTATGAGGTTCACTAAAGACACAATTCACAATAGTGACCCACTTTGCCTTTAAGAGAAGAGAGACTCCCCATCTGGATTGGCACCTTTCTCTCTCTTTGTTATTAAAAAATGTTTTTTATTCCCCTGCATCTCAGAATTAATGGTCTTCCTATCATTACTCCTGAAAACAAATCTTCCCGCCACCAGAACACCTCTGCACTGGAAGATGTCATAGTGTCCCATGATACGGCTGCACGTCGGTGTGTGTAGCACCATTTGGGTTGCTTTTGGGTAGTTTGGTTTTATGAGTAGAGCTACTGTTATCATCCTTGCTGCTAAATCTGTTCACATTTACAGTCATTTCCTTAAGATAAATTCTTGGAAGAATTTCTAGGTCAACGGATATGCACCAATTTTAGGGCTTTGACCCTGTACTGGGATTGGCTTCCCTTCAAACAACAGCCATGTTTCTCTTACCCATGTGGCTTGGGTCACTCTCACTGTGGTCTGTGTGATGGCCTGGGCCCCTCTGAATGTGCCAGGGAGCACTTGGAACAGGCCTGGCCTCACCCACATCTGCCCTGAGCAAGGTGTCGGCTGCAGCGTGCTTCTCAGGTTCCCAGGGGGGCCATGGCCACCTGATGTTTTGTTCTAAGTGACGTACAGTGCGGATCAGGACAGATCAGATGGTGCTGGTCAATTGCTCTGAGTTGAAAACAGTGCCGAGTTTGTGGTTAGATTGAATCAGAAGCAGCTTTGGACCAGGTCTTAAGCATACTTGGGGAGCATGTAGGAAAGAAGGTGGAGATGAGTTGAAAATCACTTAGATCTTTGCCCAAGATTCATTTGATCACACGAGGCAGAGGATGAAAGGTAAGGATGTGTGGAAGCAGACTGCCTGAGCTGCAGGGCAAGCTGCCGTGTCCCTGTCTGCAGATGGTGGACCGAAGGACAGGACGTGAAGAGACAGGAAAGCGGTATACTTTCCTCTGAATGTTAGGAAACGCTCCCTGGTGACAGGACTGGAATCTCCATATGCTCAGATATTTGCGGGGTGCCTAGCTTTCCTCCCTTTCTGAGAGAAGAAACATTTTCACTGAAATTATATAGGTATGTGTGTATATATACTTTGTATCGTTTGCTTTGGAAACCTCTCTCTTTTTGTGGGAAACTAGACTGACTTCCAAGCTGGCTTAGGAAGCACCGTAGGAGGGGTAGGTGGGTTGATGCTGTGTGGAACACTGGACAGTAACTGGAAGGTTCTGCCCACACCTGCCCCTCGTGAGGTATGATCCAGCCGCCCATCACTGTTAGACGAGCTTCCACATTCCTTACCCTCCTCTCGTCTGCTCTGTGGCCAGAGAAGACCACCTTATCAATGTACTTTGCCGACTTCATGCTTTAGCATTAATGTAAGGGAGAGAGACTCTACAAGTAATTTGTGGGGAAAAAAATCAGGTATTTCCATATAATGTTTGTTGGTTTAAGGCCTCTTCCACACCTGGCTAAGCACAGTAGTGCCTAAGTGAGCATTTGCATAAACCTTCATTAACTCTTGGGCCGCAGTGCTGTCACCCAGGCACTGTTTGTTTAATGCATTTCTTCAATCAATTTTAAAGCAACTCACTTCTTTACCTGATCTCATCCTTTCTGTACCATCTCTAAAAGTGTGAGTTTGGTGGTCTCACTGTGATATTATTCTCTAATATACATTAAAATAAATATGTAACCATTAAAATAGAGGATGTTCATCCGCATGTGACCTTAGAATCATCTGTGTCTCACCTGTGGAATGCGTGCCACGGTTTGGTGCACCACAGACCTCATTTCAAATTTTTGATTGACTCAGATCCTTCCTCTTAATATAAATGTATCAACTCAAGTATCTGTTGCCTGCTGGACTAGAATTAGGCTCAGATATTGTCAGCTGGCTGTCCATTTGCTGCAGACGTGCCCCATTCATCTGTCCATCTCATGCTGTGCGCTTCGGGTTCATTGCGGCACCTGTCCAGGTTTGATGCGACCTTACCTTTCTTCAGGTTCTTGCCGTAGAGCAAGTATCTTGTTAGAGGGTCGTGCTTGTGTGGACATACAAGTGCGTCTTCACAAACCTCTCTTCTACCTTCAAACTCAGCATATGCTGTTTTTCATAACCTCATTTCCTCTTCTGTCTGTCTGCTTGATTTCTTTTAAAATAGTTGAATTATGCTCTTTCTCCTCATTGATGTCCTTACAACTTAGTGTCCGCTCTGTGTTCCTTTGGTTAGCGCTCTCCTCGGGATTCACTTCAGGCCGTGTTGAGATGCTGAGCAGGCCTGAATCTCTCCGAGTAGCTCACTTGGGAGCTTCCCTCGAGGGGTCCCACTTATTTATGGTCAGCACACATTTCTGTCCACCCCCTGCGGTGCCCTGCGCTGTGCAGAAGACAGAGCCCATTCTTTTCTCTTAGCTGTGACATTCTTGGCTCAGATCGTTATTTGCCTCCCTCTTCCTGGAAAGGAAGCCTCTGAGAGTCACCCCAGGTGTTGGTAGGCTCAGTCCTCCGTCTTTGTACCTGCCCTCCAGGCTCCTGGGATTCTCAGACATACTAGCTGTGCATCTTCTTTTCCAGGAGCTTGTCCTTCCGGGTAGCAGACCAGTCGTGCACCCAGTCATCTCCGTAAGACTCTTGGCTGTAATCTGTGGGTAGTAGTGGGCTCTTCTCCAGGGCGCTTTTTCCTTTTCCCTAAAGATGAAGCTGTCTTCTTGATGACAGCGGTCTTTTCCCAGAATGACAGCTGGGACTCGGCATGCTCTGCTCGGCAGGGACTTTGGTCAGTTATAAGGCAGCACATCATAGCAACAAACGCAAATCATTTGGAAACTCCTGAATATTTTAGTGAGGAAGAGGCTAGATATCACATTTTCTGGAGCTGACCAAGAAGTGTTTTCTGAAAGGGGGACTTTTGACGAAGATGCTAAAGGAAATGCGAGTCACAGTCTGACCCAAAGGACAGAAGGGGTGGTCTGTGATACTTTGCAGAAGGAATGTAAAAGGGCCTTTCTGTAAGTAGCAGAGGAGAGCTCTTGTCTTAGAACTGAGGACTGTGGAAAGATATGTTCCCAAATTGAACTTGGAAAACATTTCCCATTTTCTGTGTATATACGTTTAATATATATGACTCCATAATTTATCAAGGGATTTCTCATGCTAAGCACCTGCATAGCAAAATCTCATTTAATCTGTACAATTATATGACACAGGTACTGTCCCTATTTTGCACTTGGAGGAAAATAAAATTTGTATTAAATAATGAACTTAGAGTCACACAGCAACAAAGCAGTAGACTTGAGCCCTGTCGTTCTGACCTCAGAGCTACACTAGTAGCCAGTCATTGCCCTGTCTTCCAGTTTCAGCTTGTGGGGTGGGTCTATAGGAGGTGTGGTTGTGTGTGCTTTTGTGACCCCGTATGCAAACCGAACCTTATTTCCAAGGGTAAATATTTCCCATTCCACTTTCAAACCTGGAGTTTAAACTTTCACTAAGCTAGAGATCTGCCTGTAAAGAGCTGGGGGACTGGTTCCCAAGGATAAATGGATGCATTTCACAAGGAAGCTTGAGGCCAAGCTAAATTTGAACCTCCTTCGATAACAATGATAAAAATTAAATGATGACAGTTCAGTTAATGTGCCAGTCAGCCTGCTAAGCCCGTTA